CCTTTCTGTGTTCATCTCACTTGAACTGTGTGATTACCTGGGTGTACACATACGTAAAAACATATCAAACTGTACACTTTTCTGTATGTCAGTTATAGTTCAATTAAATAGAAATATATATTTTTTCATATTTCATGCGATGTCAGCCAGAATTATTTTTTTTGTTTTTTGGTGGCTGGCCAGTACAGGTATCCAACACTGGACCTTGGTGTTGTTACCAGCACCATGTACTAAACAATCGAGCTAACCAGCCAGCCCTCAGTAAGAGGAATTTAAAAAGTTCTTCCTAGTTAGAGGTTGACAAGGGAGATGTGTTTTGTAGACCACTATTTAGTTGCTTAAAAATCTTAGTTCCATAATCTCCTAGACTCTCAGTGCAGTGTTTGGAGTCTGACTCCTTGCTGTCTTTTTCTAGGACCCTGACAAAAATCTGTGTCTACTTGGTAGAACACTAAGGCCGTCTGCTTATCTTGGCCCAAGGCTGGGATAGGAAGCGTGCAATGGGACAGAGGGAAGGCTAGACCGCAATGCTTTACAAACACTGTTAAGTGTTTTGTGGCTCTTGCACTGTTTTGTAATAGAAACTTTATTCATTTCCAAAATGGATTTTGTAGTTATTTTGTTGCTTTAAACATCTCCAAAGGTTCGGTGGTACTGAAGGAGGCTAATTTCTAGAACATGAGCATCTTACTTTACAGGATTAAACTCCAGAAAGTGTTAAAGCTTTTGTTTGAGTTATTGATAAATGTTTGTATACTTCATGGCAACCCGATGCCTGATTTTCTGAATCTTTTCCTTTTGAAGCAAATCCTAAGCATCATCCTGGTTTAGAGACAGAATGGTGTAGTGTTTAACAGCACTGATCCTAGAGTCAAACTGCCTGGGTTCTCTGATTAGCGCATCACTTTGTGCAAGGAACTTTAAGACAAGGATAATAATCCTCATGGAGCCGAGCTGTTTAGAGGATCAAGTGAATTAATAACACACTTGGGGAGGTTATTGGGCATCATAAGACCTTTAAAAGACTTAGCTACTGTTAAGATTTTTTTCCAATTGTTTATAACAGTAAATGAGATGAAATGCTTTATTTCACATGTAGAGATAAGACACACAGACTGAGTTTAATGCTTCAGATATCCAATGAAGGACAATAGATCACTCCAGAAAATATCTAGAGAGAAAAAAGTATCTATTCTTATGGAATTCTTTTGATTCCATTACAAGTCAAGTATCTTAATTACATAGAAGCTTTAGTATCCAACAGAATGAGGACAACATAAAAACTTTTAAAAATCATCAGGCTGGGCATATCAATATTTATTGAAATACTGAAAAAAAATTCCATTTTGTTGAGAAATTCCTGGCAAGAACTGACATGACAATATGTATTTCACTGATACAGTAAGAAAACGTCAACAAGGAACTGACTTCACACTCTAAACATTGCATGGATTCAAATCCAAGGCAGCTGCAGAAGATCTGAAATACCAATAGCCAGACACTACGGATTGTCTGTTTACAAACACAGACCAACTATAATAAACCCAGCTAAGCCAAAAACCTTTATATTTGAGGCTGCTTTTACTAACAAGTCCTGTCATGGATAAGGCAGTTGCTCAGTACATGTCTGGTTACAAACTGGTTAACAATTAATGTTAGAGAAATTCTACTTGCCAACTTTGAATGGGCCACCGAGGTGGGTTGTGGTACATTCTCACTTGTCAGCTTCTGTTGTTGTCGTCACCATTGTGTTTCCTGTCTTTCTGACCGTTCTGATGTATAATCTACTAGGTTAACGACATGGATTTGACATTTTCTAGGTTTAACATTCAGTAGGGAGCACTGTATATTTAACATAAAAGAACTTGGGTTTTAAGATCAATGTATTTGAATTTTTTGCAATGTTAGAGAATCTCCAAATAACTATCTTCCAAATCTCATAATAAAGTCTCCACCCATGTCACACATACATGATGGAACCATTTCATTAACTACTGACACCACCGTTCCTCTCCATGTGTCATCTAGCTAACTTGGTTTGTCACTGGGGAGAGCTATGGCGCTGCCCTTCTCTTTAACGCTTTGGATATGAGCTCTGATCAGTGATTTTCCACTGTCCTTGGAACCATGAGGATAACACAGGTGACTGAGACTCTGCATGAGTTGATGCCCAGCTTAGCTCATGTGTACCCTTCATGTGGACGAGTATTAGAGGGGATTAATAAAAGTAATAAAATAATCCTCTTTGTACGCACAGAAGTAATAACTAATATCTTTGGTATACAACTTACAATGCTTGGAAAGGAAAACCAAGTAAGACTCCACCTTGTTAAATTTACTTGAAAACAGAGGAGGCTACAAGTCACATAATTTACAATACATATTAAATAAACTACAGTTAAGAATGATGAAGATTTACAGACATTTAATCAAGTGAATGATTTTAATTCATTAAGACCCTTCTATGTCCCTGAACTATGTTCCACTAACTTGAAGACATGCTACGGTAAACACATATATTTGGTTTCTTCAGTCTTGGCTATATCTTATACAAAGGTGAAACCAAGAAACAATAAATTAGCATCATAATTGTCTACAGTTGAAACTATGATATACAATATAAATAAACTATTCAAAAGCCAGAAACATGAAAAAATTAAGGGACTAGGAGATACTTTTATTTATTTTTTTACAGTTTCTACAAGTGATTGTGCTGCTGATAATCTCAAAAAATTAAAGTCTAAATGAGATTTCCGTTTTTGATTTTAGTGTCTCACGACATACAATAATTAAGTACTGTTAAAAATAATTGCCAATCAGAAAAATAACGTTAAGGAAATTACTGCTTTTGCTGTTTTGTAATATCACAGTTCCCCCCCCCCCAGGACCTAAAGAATGTAAACACTATATTTGATTTGACTTTAAAGTATTAATACTTTATTTTAAACAACTGTTGATCTACATCTGCACAGCTACCTTTTAGAATTGGGAAATAAGGCAAGACTCTCATATCTGTGATGTCACATGTCAATAATACTGATAGTGTCATTTGGAGAGTTAGCAATTCTCTTTTTTCCATTATTTGTTCTACAGCCGACTTTGGTCTACGACTCAAAAAGGTCTGTATCACTCTCTTCCTTTCCCCTTTGGGGAAGACTGAATTACTTTAGTGTCTTTCCAGGCCATATTGAAAAATCACCGTTTCCATCCCAAGTTTAGGTAGGGGACATTCAATTGCAATAAGAACGCACCTTGAGTCGATCAATTTATCAGCTCATTTTTGCTTTTCTTTTTGCGTAGCTTAACATGCTTCAATTTTGTTTTCAATTACATTTGACACCCCAGCAAAATATGTTTAATGTTTTATTTTGAAATGAACCACAAACTGTAATGACTAAAAAGACAAATGTTTCCTAATAGGCATATTGGCCAGAAATTTTTATGAAACCCAACAATGCTAAAGCCACATTTCAGCAACAGTAGCAGAAATTAGGTTTAACTTGGTTAAGCTATCAAGCACTTGCTTTAAAAGTTTGTAGTCATTTCCCTTAATATTAATTAATGTCTGCATAAGATAGAAGAGGGATACTGCCTGCTTTTCTTTTTAACATCATGAACGCATGACAAAACAAACTTCAGAACATATTTAAAATGGTGAGCTAACATATTAATAGACTGTTCTTATTAGCTGTTTGCAGGTCTAGGACACAGACATTCAAAATTAGGCTTTTCATGATTTGGTGGAGCTACTACTGAGTGTGGCTGAACACAGGTCCTTAGTTCAGATTCTGTGATCCCAGGGCAGAAGGTACTGGGCCCTTCAAAGGAAGAGGAAAGGGCTATTGTAGGTACAGCTGATGCATTCTTGAGAACGTTTCAGTTCAGCTTTACCATGGAGGAATTCTGTTAAGTTCGAATCCTCCACTGTGTAAGCCTAACTAATAACACAGATTGGTTCCTAAATTTCTTCATAGCGGAGATCAGTTTAAATATACAAGAAATGTTCTGTCCAGGTTTCTTCTGATATAGTGTTGGTATCCATCTGTGGGTTCAATCCACTCCATTACGATGTCTTTTATACAGAATCCTTTGGGGATGTGAAGCCTTTGATTCACAGTTTGCAATACAAATACCCTGATACATCATTTATTTGCTATTAAGTATTTGATTATGCCTTTCTAAATTCAATATCTTTAGACCAAGTTTTTAATTAGTGTTCCTTGGAGCAGTTCAGAGTATTTTTTTTTTTTCTTCCTGTTTTTCTTCCCTCTCCCCCTCCCCCCCAAATCTCTTTTTGTTTTGAAAGCCGAGCTCCCAGGGGTTGTAACCTACGCTCTTTTTGCATGCAACATTTCAATGAGAAGGTTATTATAGGGCACATCGCCGTTCAGGTGCTTGTAGTAGAGGTATTCTTCAGCCTGCATGCTGATGGCCCGGATTTCGGGTAGTCGAAGAAGTAGCTGCCCAAATTTCTCCGTTTGCTGTGGGTAGTTGCACATGGTGTAGTCCAGCAGGGCGGCGTTAACTTGTTCTTGGACACCTTCTACCAGCTGGAAGTTCTCAAGGTTTTTGACATCTAAACTAAAGAGCACCAGGAATTTCAGACACACAAACTCTCGCTGATCAAACTGTAGAGAGTGAAGTTTCACCACTAACTCCTGTGCGTGACTCATAAGATTGTTGAGAGTGGCCCCAGCTTGTGATGCTATTATGGAATAGTCCACTTGTTGCCCAGTAACCAGGAAGATTGATCCTTCCTTTCCATGTACCACTTGCCGGTAAATGTGGTCGAGGATTAAGAGCTCACTCCAGCAGTTCTGAAGCAGCTTCATTTGGTCATCAACCTTCAGTTCTCTGAAGAAGATGCTACTCCTGGCCCACTCGACAATGGAGAAGAGGGTTTGATCTGCCATTTTGCACATAAGCCCAAATGTGCTCAACTTTTCGTGCTTGCTTCAGTTAGCCTGCTCNTTTTTTTTTTTTTTCCCTTTTCCCCCCCCCCCCCAATCTCTTTTTGTTTTGAAAGCCGAGCTCCCAGGGGTTGTAACCTACGCTCTTTTTGCATGCAACATTTCAATGAGAAGGTTATTATAGGGCACATCGCCGTTCAGGTGCTTGTAGTAGAGGTATTCTTCAGCCTGCATGCTGATGGCCCGGATTTCGGGTAGTCGAAGAAGTAGCTGCCCAAATTTCTCCGTTTGCTGTGGGTAGTTGCACATGGTGTAGTCCAGCAGGGCGGCGTTAACTTGTTCTTGGACACCTTCTACCAGCTGGAAGTTCTCAAGGTTTTTGACATCTGCATTTAAAAAAAAAGAAGAAAAGCAACAACATTTCATTGGCATTTTCATTTCTGTTTACTAAAGCAGTGTGTTCAATTAATGGATGTATTTTTCTCTTGACATAAAGCATACTTTATATACTGCTGAATATTCAGTAAGCCCCACTCACCAAGCTTCCTGGGAAAACGATCACAAAAGAGCTTTAGAAGAATGTCTTGTTGAAATTCTGCATATACCTCAAATCAATTAGACACCAATGGATTTTGAGCAAGGTCAACTCTTTTCATATCTTACAAAAGGAAAGGTTTGAGGATTCCTAGAGTAGAAGGATCATAATATATTGCCAGCAAATGAGTCCCTAGAGAAAGACCTATCTTAACCCAGTATATTACACAATTCATATAATTCTGTATTAATTTTTCTGACCCAAGGTGAAATCTGTGTCCAGGGTATGATGTAGTTAATTCTAATAAAAAGTGACAGGGTTCTTGTTTCTGTTTGACATTTTCTAAATGATTCTGAAAGCCTTTGACTTGTCTAGCCTATGCTAATGAACCATCTGGTACACTCCAGTGACTGCCAATGGAATATTCGCTACTGGGAACTCTCTAAAATATATATCTTGGTGACTAATGATCTTTATCAAATGAAAGCCCTGTCCTTTAGGCAGAATACAAGCCAGGATGGTCAGTGCCCTTTAACCTGAATGTGGTTTCTAAAGTCAGATATTTTGCTTTCTTTTTTTCTTCTGGTCCTGGGTCACTCATATACAGAGTAGGGACACAGGCAATTCACCCTGCCTAACTCCTGGTGATCATCCAGTTGTTTTAAGACATCTGCCCCAGAGGTCCTTATAAATATTGAATAAGAGAAACACAGAATCAAAAAAGACAGACATACAAATGCACGCACAGACAATGGGCAAGGGAAAAGGGTATGTTTGAGTTTCTCTTCTGGAGTTTATTTATGCTAACTGTACAACTTTTATACAATGTGTATATAGAAGCCCCTGGAAAAAATATACAGATATGTGTGTATGTTTACATACACCCAGGTTCAGAAAGTAAACAGATGCAGCCACCTTCCCCCCTTTATTTTTTAATTGGACAAAAATAAATAAGAATGAGATTCTGAAAAAAGCCATGTAATGCTGTGAGTAAAATGTTAAACATACTAAGCTCAGTTAATGGTTACCATAGCAACTCACATCCAGTATTTTTGGCACTATACACTATTAAACTTGGCTTATACACATATCCATGTCCATTTTGTTATTTCTAAATGGTTTTACAATAAGATTGCCTTACATTTGCTGTTAAAATGTGTTCAGGATGATTTCAGTGTTTGCACTTGGGCCATAACTTTGCATTAAACATGCTCCCCCCTTTTATGACCAAGTCTCTGATCCAAATTAAAAACAGTGAGGAATTAGTACTGAAACAGATACGTGGTGTAAGAGTTGGATACCACATCTATTTCAGTGTGAGATGGGAGGCTCAAACATATTTGATTATTTATTAATGAGCTGTACAAACAGACAAACGCTGCACTATTTAGACCCCTGCATCTTCTTTTGGTTATTTAAATGTCTGCCAAGTTGGTGTTCACTTAATATTTTACAGTTAATAAAGCGTTTTCCACCTATATTATTTAAAATATTTTTTAAAAATTTAAATTACTTATAAATATGGCTGTGAATCCAGAGTTAAGCTGGATTCAAAATTACAAAATGTAAACAATCAGAAATACCTTCAATATGTTGTACGTGACAGAAAAATCTCCATCAATGTTGTGTTACAGTGATTTAAACAAACTATAAAAAAAGTTTGAAACAGTATTACTTTATGCTATGGGAAAGATAGTCTCGAGAGCAAGAGAAGCTAACAATAGTCATAGAGATTAACAGGCAGGATATGTAGGAATTTGCACAGTACAAAGTGTGAGATAAATGAAAAACAGTCTTTTTAGAACATTGCTTTTGAAACATTCCTTTTTTGATAAATGTATTTTTTGAGAACTAGGTTTAACATTCTGTGATGTATTATGCCATTATATTAAGGGAAAAAAGAAAAAAGAAAAACACTACTAACAAACATAGAACAAAGGACAGATCACACATCTGGTTTATTCACTGACTATTACTTCAGAATGGTCAATATAAAATCTTCTATCAGCAGTCAGTGGATAATTTCTATGAATACTGGCTCAAATTGGCACCTTTCTCCTGAAAGTTTGAAAATATATGCAGTTTTCTTTCTGGCAGGAGAATGTACAGGTTTCCCAAACTTTAGTCAAATACACAATTTTTTTTTTTTTTTTTTTTTTTTTTTTTTTTTCCG